TCCCTCAGTTTATGTTTGGCTTTAAAGGGGCAACCCTCCGTACTGCCTTGTTTTGTGCCGGCAGGAGAGTAGGGATGCTGATGAATTTCCCTGTGGAGAGCCCTAGTGCCAGTGCTTAGCTGTGTCCACATGGGGGCATGACTGGGACCTGTTAGAGCTAAGCCGTGGTTCTGGTAGTTGTATATCAGCTGCCGGTGTTTATGAGAACCAATTCCGTTGTACTGTTTTTGTGCCTGAGTGTAACTCTAAGTTATGGCCTGGGAAGGCTGTATAAAGAACGCTCAGCAAGAGAAAATGAGCAGAGTTGCCTTAGGGCATTAGAATGTTTCCAATTTTCATTTATAGAGCTGGGAATTGTGGTAGATTAGTATGCATTTGAGTGGGCTAATGACGAATGTGACTGTAGCTGAAAGGCTGTCTATATCCCTTAGAGCCAAGCGCAGAGACCGAGAAACAGGACACAGTGCTCTAATAAAAGCCTGATCATTGCCAAGTATAGTGGCAGGAAAAGGCAACTTTCCTTTCTCATGTAAATTATGCTTCTATAAACACATCCCCAGATCATGTTAGCTCATTTACTAATTTCATTTCATTGCTGAATCGATCATATTTAATTTTTGCTCTTATGATCTTTTCTCTCCTACCTCAACCTGGCTTAGTCTGGGCTAGTTAAAGTCTAATTGTTCTTTATCTTATATGTATTTTATGTCTTTGTTTTCTTCTTCCTATTTCTTTTCCTCATAAAATTCCATCTTTGTTTGATGGACCATTTCCTAATTGATTGAGGTCACATGGAATTCTCTTCAGCATTTTAATATACTGATAACCTTGCTCAACTTTCTTTAATTTTCGCATTTAATAGATGTGGTTTTTATGTATAAAATTCAAATAACATAAAATTAACCATTAATCATTTTAAAATGTACAATTCAGTGGCATTTAGTACTTTTGTAATGCTGTGCAACCGTCACCTCTATCCAGATTGAAGACATTTTCATCATCCCAGAGGAAATCCTGTAAGCAATAGATGTGCTTTTAATGAGCATCTAAACCATTTCTTTCTTGCTAGCTGCTTAGGCTATCACTTGGTACAGAACCAAAGGATGTGTTGTTGTATGAGATCTATTGCTTCCTGCATGGCTATAGGCTTTTTGCCTTTCAGTGTCTGATAGTGCCTCCAGGTTTAGAGAAAGAGAGACAGAGAGAGGGTGGGGAAGAGAGAGGGAAAGAAGAAGAGAGGAGAGGAGAGACTAGAGGAGAAGAGGAAGTCTGGATTTCTTCCTGAGAGCACCTGCTTCCTTCCTCTCTGATAGGACTCCGACTGGGGCAGAGGCAGTGCGACAGTGTAAATTAGGGACCCACTGGAAATCTGGCTGCAGAGGGCTGATGGTGACAGTTTTCTGGGAGGAACTCTGAATAGTTTGCATTCATTCCTCTTTCTGTCTTTAACCCCTTCCTTATTTTATCATTTTCTTCGAAGCTGACCTCTTACTAACCTCCTTGGTGTGCTCAGCACCTATCCTTTTCCTCAGTTAGTTCCCTGGGACCCAGCAGGCTCAGGCACTTTCTCCACCCAGGGGAGCCCATCTAATGCCTCAGTGACCATGGATCTGACCCAGAACCCGGAGAAGGTTAAGATAGGAAAGATAGCCCCTAGCGTCTAATGCCCTACCGCCGCTCCTCTAGAGATACCCTGGCCAAGCCCTGCCTGCCTGTTGCTTCCAAGACTTCGGGCCAGCTTCTCACTGTATCCAAGCAAAATGATCTTTAGCTGGGAAAAAGAACACACGAAACGCCCGAAGGGAAGGTGGGAGGAGATGGGCGTATAGCGGGTTTCCGGGGGTGACCCCTCCTGCGAGAAGCCGGCTTAGACCTACCCCGGCCTCCGTGTCCACGAAGGGAGGGCTCAGGGTAGAAAAGGCAACGTTTTCAGACCTGGGGTTGTCAGGTCGAGGACCACATCCCCTCCTGGGGATTCTGCCCACCGGCGGCCCCTCCCAGCTTGGCGGGCGCTCCCACCCCGCCCCGCATCCTGGCCCCGCCCCTGCCCTCGCCCTGCCTCTGCCCGGACTCTCGGCCGGCTGAGTG